CTCTCTCTCTCTCTCTCTCTCTCTCTCTCTCTCTCTCTCTCTCTCTCGCCAGATAAAAAGATATATATATATATATCTTTTTTTAACAGTCTAGTCACTACCCTCCTCCTGGTTTACCCTCCCACAGTTCCTTATTCCATTCCTTCTTACCCCCTCTCTCCAAGAGGATGTCCCCACCCCTTACCCTTACCCCACGTCCACAGGCCTCCCCACTCCGTGGGACCTCAAGTCTCTCTAGAGGGTTAGGCATGTCTTCTCCCACTGAAGGCAGACCAGGCAGTCCTCTGCTATTTATATGTTGGGGACCTCAAACCAGCTAGTATATGCTGCCTAGTCTGTGGCCCAGTGTCTTGTGAGATCTCAGGGGTTCAGGTTAGTTGAGACTGTCTTCCTATGGGGCCACCTTCTTCCTCAGCTTCTTCCAGCCTTTCCTAAGTTCAATCACAGGAGTTCCCAGCTTCAGTCCAATGGTTGGACACAAGTGTCTCAGTCAGCTGCTTGTTGTGCCTCTTGGAGGGCAGCCATGCTAGGCTCCTGTCTGTAAGCACACCATAAGCCCAACTTGGGATTCATCTCAAGGAGATGCTCCAAGACCTGACACCATTACTGATGCTATGGCATTTTCCTCTTTTCAAATATCTCCATCTTCATAGTTGTTTAGGTGTTTCCAGGTGTTTCTGTTCTTTTCTTTCTTCCCTGAGTGGGCAAAAATTACAGCCTCTGCACAGTCCCCCCCACTCCCAATTTTTTGGTATTATACAGAACCAGATTCTTTCCTTAGATCAATTTCTCGGGAGGTTGAGTTGGTAGACCAAAGCATATGAACATCTTTATGGATTTTTCTTCTCTGTATTGCAGTATTGCTTCTGCAAAGAAGGGTTTGATGGTTTACACAGGCAGCAACAGTGTATGAATGTATTCATTTTATCACTGCTATGTTCGCTGATTAAAATTTCAATATAGCAATATTTAGTGAATGAAATAATGAACCCGTTCATATTATGCCAGCTGTAGAATAATACCTGCTGTGTTTGAAGGGAGAAAAAGATTGCTCGATTCTCAGAAGGCTCTGAGTTTCTGCTGTTGCTGTTGCTTTGTTTTTGTTTGAGCATGAGTTGCTGTAAAAACTTTGCATCCTCTTTGCCGGGTCTGAGTGACTGGTGGCTTTAATGAGACCAGAATGGAGATCCCTGTCTGGACCCTTGGACCCTCTCTTCTGACTCCAGGTGAATATCCAAGTGGAAGATGATGTAATGTCACTCACATCACCTTGTCTTCCTTCCTGCTGCGATGGTTAACATTGATTGTCAGTTTGACAGGATCTAGAGTCATCTATGAGACAAGCCTCGTGCTGTGCCTATCAGGAGTTGCCTTAGGATGCACCTGTCAGGTATTATCTATATAGAATCAACATGGAGAAGTTATGTTAACTGAAGGCAGCATTGTCACATTCTCTGAGGTCTTGGAGTGGATAAGGAGAAAGGAGTCCCAGCATTCATCTCCCTCTGCTTAGTAGCTATGGATGAAATGCAAGGCTGCCTCAAGTCGCTGCTGCCACGACTACCTATCACGATGGACCTCACTCTGGATCCAAACTAAATCCTCCTTCACAACACAGAAATGAGAGAAGTAAATAGTGCACCTACATAGCTCGTATCACACTTCACAAGAGCCACTTCCCTCTGCTTCTGCTTCTGCTTCGTTTCTCTCCCTTTTGGGTCTGAACTCTAGGAAAGGGAGGATGATATCTGGACTTCTTGAGTTATTCCCATTCAAGGGTTATCCCTAGTATGGGTTCTGTGTTCACCGGACCCCAGAACTTGCTCATGTTTGACTCCTTTCGTCTGCCTTGTCCTGTCAATTCCTGAGTCTCAAGCTTAAGATTTCTGTGGCCTAATTGATATGAAAGTGAGTTATTGGTATCAGCAGGCATTTATTTCATCACCAGAATGTGATGAACCTTTAATCTGAAGATCAACAAATAAGGTGGTCATGAACAATATAATACCCCCAAAAAGCACCTTAAAACGTATTCATATGAAGTGCCATTGATGTATGAAAAAAAACACCACTTTGATAGCATTAGGCTCAGATCTTTGCCCCCCACCTCCAAGCCCCCAGTCCCATGAGATTGATTCATGTGACACAGTGACATTTGTAGGCCTTTCAAATACTCTACGAATGTGTCATTTCCTGAGTGGTCCCCAGGAACACTCACTGCACTTTTTCATGGTTGATTTCCCACCCTACTATGGGAGTTCCACAGTGGAATGCCCCATTCTCTTACATTCCCTACTGTCTTACAGGCACCTTGTATGTACCCGCCTGGCATTAAGTGGGGGTAAGGGGGCGGGACCAACTACAGGAGTCACTTCTGCACCCCAACTGTTAAATGGAGACAGAAAAATACTTGCTCTGTTCTTTCCCTGAGTCTTCTAGGGAGAAGAGGTGTGGGGAGTGATAATCCACAGGTTGCTGGGGCAGGGGTCTTGCTGAAGCAAGGCTGCCTAGGCTTGGAGAGGTGGCCATGGGAACAGTGCTATGTACTTTGTTGACTGTGCCAACTGAGGCTTAGTTAAGGCAAAGGGGCCAGTATGAGCTCTGGTCCCAGATGTATTAGCCAAGTGTGTCAATACGACCCAGAAGCTATTGCTACTCTATAACTCCCTCTCCGTGCTCTCTCCTTTGAGAGATGTGCTGGGAGGCTCTGTGGCATCGCCACAGCAGACAATGGTGCATTGGTACTTTCTGTAGTCTGGCCCCATTTAATGACACCTAGATGAAATTCATCCACTTTTTGGAGGATAGGACTTCACATGTTTTTTTTTTCTTTTTTTTTCTTTTTTTCATTTTTTTTTCTTTTTTTTTTCTTTGTTTTCTTTGACTTCACATGTTTTTAGTGCCCCTTTCCAGCACATTTTAATGTTGAGTGGGCCATAAGCCATTTGCTTGGTCCCGTGAATCCAGGAGAGTCCCCTCACATATGCCATCTCATTTTATCTTAATTGCACGTATGCACACTGGTTTTATTTCAACTTCTTTTATATCTGGAAAAGCTAGCCCTGCAGAGTTGAGGAGCTGAGGATCATTCTAAGGGAAAAGCTGAGGTTAGATCTGAGTCTGAAGTGCACTTCTTTAGCTATAGTAGAGGGCCTGGGAACTGCAGCCTTATTGTCTCCTGGTATCACAATGTTATAATCAGTGCACAGGGGTGCAGATAACAGGGGAGAGGGCAGAGATATGTCCTTTCCACAATACACATAAGAAATGAGAGGCAGGGTCACTCAACAATACCTGGAGGAAACCAGTCAGCCTGCAGTGTATGTCCAGTGACCACTTGAAGGCAGAGGATAGACCATTTGAGGACAGGGCCTTATGAAGAAGGCCACTTCCCACTAAAATCCTTAGCTTTGGATGAGCCAGTGGCCTATACGCTTCCATATTGAAATATTTGAATTCAAAATGGAAAGAAAAAATAGTAGTCATCCCTTTATCAAGGAAAGGAGAACTATCTGAAAAACAATAGAAACCAAGTCTCCAGGGCCACTTGCTGTTGGAGCAGTGGTCCACATTGTCATCCCTCCTCTTAAGTGGTGACAGATTTTGTTCATCACACAGATGGTCTGAGGAATCAGGCATGAACACCCAGCTGTGACTTTCTTCCACACACACAGTAATGCCTGAGTCAAGATGCCTCACTTGGAAACACTGCCCTATCTCTTTCCATCGCTGTGACTTGGAACATGATATAAGCCTCTCAAGCAGATACATCTGGAAACAGGGTGATAGGAATTTAACCCCAGGAAGATGTTGTAGGGGAGAAAGGAGATGGTCAATGCAGAAGTACTTGGAGCTGCCTGATACTTATGCTCTAAGAAATGAGCAAATGAATGACCTAGGCATCCCCAAGTAAGGATATGAAGGACTCTGTGAGTGGGACTGAGCATCTCACCCAGTACCTCTGTTGCCTTGGAGATATCATTTAAGGTCCATATAGTAATACTTGAGTGTAAGGAAAGAGGGAAGATGTATTAAAATGTAGCCAGGTAGCATCAGCATTAGATACTCTTGGGTCAGAGTTCTGTGGGTCCTCTCTAGAGTCTACCATTTGCTGATGAGTCATAGAAACTCATTAGATGGCCCTGCTGTCACGAACATCACAT